TTTAGATATACTCATTTTAGCTTTTTAGGAGGAAATGGTCATTTTTGGGAGCACTAAAACTGATACTAGGTAAACCCCAAACTTAAAAAATGTCTCTCTACAGTTCACACATATTTATTTTTGTTTTTAGAAAAAATAATTCTAAGTCTGGATGTGAAATGATTCCGTTTGAGGAAAAAAGGAATACAAATTTAAGGAAACCATTTTTTTTTTATTTGAGGCGTAAAGTTTCGATGAAATTTCGAGAACTAAGTGAAATTCAGAACATTGCTTTTATCACTAGCATCTGAACCGGAATCTGATGCGATTATGTATAAAGCCAAAAATAAGTCTGCATTTTCCGGACTAATGACAATGGGTCAATCTCGCTAATCACAGGCAGGTGGGTTTTTTTTTTCTTTTTTTTTTAAAAAAAAAATACTTCAAATATCCCACAAGGAATAATCCTGCGCTACAGCCCTGTCCTCCCTCAGTCCTTATTGAAGAACCAGTCCCAGGTAACCATAGTTTGAGACCATCAAACTTGGGTCGCCTGCGGGCCGATTATTGAAATTGTTAGACAAAGCTATAGACAAAGAAGACCTAGGGGCTATAAAGGAATCCTATTGGTTGAAATGGGTGGTTCTCATAGACAAAAAGGGGAAAATGATAGACTAACTGTCGGGTCTTTCGTGGGTTGCCGTTAGTTAGTCTATTGCCTACCGCCTTTGACCATTGCAACCACCCGCCTCTACCAATAGGATTCCTCCAAATCCTTTTTGTCTTCTTTTTCTATTGCTTTGTCTATCAATTTCAATAATCAGCCCGCTGGCCTGGCCGGGAATCGAACCCGAGACCTCCTGATTATAGAGCCAGCGCTACAACCACTACACCGTAGAAGGCCGACAGGAGGAGGTATCATAGGAGGTTTTGATAATTTAAGATTATAGCAGTGGCGTGGCGTGAATAATCGATTATAGCGATATTCCACCATTTGAAGCTATGGTAAAGAATCGATTATTAAGGTGTTCGTTGCGAACGCCCTGTTTATCGATCCTTTTCCATAGCTTCAAATGGCAGATCATTCGATATATCGCAAAGCACGCCACGCCACTGGATTATAGATTAGTACAAAATTATAAGCTGGGACTATAAGTGACTATAGCGCGACTGCTTTATTGTCCGTGTGACGATGCGTAATACGACAGCACTTTTGGGCTCTCATTTTTCGCGCGCGAATCGGCGAAATTATGTCACGCGCACAACTAATAACACGGCGAGGCGTTACAGAGTGAACATTATTCCCATTACCCTTATTTAAGTACCACTTAACACCCGATCAATGAGCAATCGAGAAAAATCAAAGAAAATCATCCGGTGTTGTCAAATATCACTGGTATTGAACTTCATTGATATCATCATGAACTAAAAACGGGGTCATATTCTGCCGTGCTAAGGAAGAACGCCGTATGAGCTTTCAGACGTTGCCGAGGTTCTTTCGATAAAAACCGAATTCACTAGGAAAATTTGGAATATTTTTCGACAAAATACTCAGACAATTTTGCACGCAATTTAATCTAAAATATCTTAAAATTTCAAAAAAAATATGCATGAATATCGTCAAAAATACATTTTTTATTAAAAGAAATTTGGCAACTCTCGAATGTTCATACGGCGTTCTCCCTCAGCACAACAGTATTAACCAAGATATCGCAACTTTCTTGTTCCGAATTCTCTAACAGACTATATTTTAACTAGACAGAGAGGAAACACCGCAAATAAACTAACAATAAGACTAAACAAAGATTGAAAAGATATTTACGGATTTTGGACGTATTTCTGCCAAATGGAACCAGAGACAGGTGGGAAAGCAGAGGTGTGCTTGTCAGTTCGCGGGCCGTAAGAATGAATGGGAATTATAAAGCGCCAGTGACGTCAGCGGCACCGAGGCCCTCGCCGCGGCTCCGCGTGGTCGGCATTAACTCATGAGCCCTGTCCTTAACGCTCTCGCCTCATGTCCATGGCTCATGAGCGCCGCATTCAGTTGGCATATAGTTCCGTTTGACAGAATGTAAAATCCCGCATTTCCATCTCTCTAGAGGAAATGGACCACTAGACAAGGTACGAATTTTAGCATTCTGATACATGTTTCTTGACCAAAATTTTACGTAGAACACGATGCGCACAACGAAAATTACCGAAATCAACTCCTTACGAAGATATTTAATGATTCTTGATGCGTAAATTCAAACCACCCGCTCATGAAAACTCAATGCTCTACGTGATTCACATCGCGCGCCAAACGATATCATGACAATATCTGAGATTTAAAAATCTGACAACCTCAATCTTGATGCTTTAGCTCAGCTATAGCAAATTACTTATAGTTTGAACAACACATGGTGGGAAATTAACATTGCTCGGTTGAGAAGCTTCCTGAAACCGTTTTAGTGCGCGATTTGACTTACGTAGAGCTTAGAGTTTCTTGTGAGCGGGCAGTTCAAATTCCTCGTAACCAATGTGAAGTAAAAACGTTGATATCTTCGTTAGGAGTTAGTTTTAGTAATATTCGTTGCGCAAATCGTGTTCTACGTGAAATTTTGGTTAACAAACATGTATCAGATTGCTTAAATTTGTATCTTGTCTAGTGGTCCATTATGCCAACTTTTACGTTGTTTCTCATGCACCATTCTAAAGCACACCTCATCTTTCTCACTCGTCTATAGTTTCGTTTGACAGACATACGTCCATTTATTGATTTTTTTCACATTTTTTTTCTACTTTAATTTAAATCTACTTCTGTACAGAATTTTTATATTTACACTGAATTTTGTATGATATACCTATTATAATGTAATCTGTATTCTTAAGCCTACGATTAGATCCTAGCATAAGATCTTAGTTTATGTATCTAACTATAAACGCCCATTCATAAGGGAGCTTTTTTGAGGCTTCCTACCTCTAATAGCAAAAATGCGGAGTGAAACGTAGCTAGACTGACTGGTTAATCCTTTCATTTCGTAGCATCAATGATAGTACCTGAGTGGACTGAATGCAACTATACCTGCTCAAAGATCATGCGTGCTGCATACCGACGGCGTAAGTCCGCAATCACATATCTCGTTTGCGGTGTCTGAAAATCTCCGCCTCTATGTCATTTTTTAAGGCAAAACAAATTGATATCATTCCTTTGCAGAATTTTCTTCGCACAGAGAAGAAAAATCACGGTAGATCTAAAGAATTGCCGTTGAGTAGTTTTCCGTTTGAAAAAGAAAGTACGACAGGAAGTTTGCGACGTCGTAAACAGAGTCATGTGATTGGCGACTTACACCGTCGATATTCTCATTTGATTCATATATTTTTTTTCATCAATTTAAATAAGAGCAATTCATGTAGAGTGTGCAAACATTTCGAAATCATGAGTTTAAAAACGCGGCTTCTGCAAGTTTAAATATTAAAGCCAAACAGAGCGGAGCGGCGCGGCGTGCTGCCAGCGCGAGAGGCTCACTGGCGCCTACAAACCTAAGTGGATACTACACGCATTGCGCAATGTTAGAAGTATCCACTTAGGTTTGAAGGCGCCAATGCGCGTTCCGCGGCTGGTCGCCCGCTCAGCGTGCCGCGGCGCGGCAATTGAAATAACGGCGAAAATGAAGGCGCTCCTACATATTAAGAATAACAGACATCCTTTAAAAGTACGGAGCTTTCTTCGTAAAATTAAGAGTCCCTTCATACCAAGAGTTAAGATCGCAAAATAAATCAAGATACTTTTCGCACACAGGCAAAATCTAAGAGCCTTTAGCTGTTGCAAATCAAAATGTTTATCTGGTTCAGGTATAACAAGGTGAGAATTTCTTGAAAGATAATTAAGTCCTGTTGCACTAAAGAGGTGTAGAGAGTTTTAGTGAATTTTGTCTCATGGAATTGACGCTCTCTCATTATTACCAAAGAAAAGATCTCAATTATATACAATTCTCCGTTGGACCAAACAAAAAACAAAAAAAACAAGCAAACCCTCGTGCTTTCAATTCTTTTACAACGTCGATACGCTAAAATTGAAGGCGTTTCGCCGCAGAGTGGCATGAAATGTAAGAAAGAAATGAAAGGTTGGAAATTTCAGTGAAATATTCCACGAAATTCATGAGGCTGTGGAATGTTTCATATTATTGGGGGATAGAGTATGCAACCCGCACTCAAACACGCAAAGGTAGATAGTCACAACTTTTACATTTTGCGAAACACGAGAAGGACCCTAGGGCAAGAGTATGCAAAAAAACAAGCAAACCTTCACGCTTCAAATTCTTTTACACCGTCGATACGCTAAAATTGAAGGCGTTTCGCCACTGGGTGGTATGAAACGTAAGAAAGATTGGAAATTTCTGTGAAATGTTCCACGAAATTCACGGGGCTGTAGAATATTTCATCTTCTTCGGGGGATAGAGTATGCAACCCGCACTCAAACATACAAAATAGAAGAAAGTCACAATTTTTACATTTTTCGAAGCATGAAAAGAATCCGGTATTTTTCAATATATCTTCTACACATATTTTGAATTTCATGAAATATTTCACGTAAAATCTCAAGATTATATTTTTCATGAGATTTTGCCACCCTTCTAAGTAGCACAGACTCCACAGACTGCAATAAGTAGCAATGACATATTAAAATTATTTCAATCCCACTGAGTGTTGTATACGTTGCCTATCTCCTATTTGAAGGGGCCTCATTTATTAAAACTTATTGCAGTAAAATTAAAATAAGTTGTAATGCTTCGTTGCATGGCATATTGCCTATCCTTCTGACTTATGAAGCTCATTTTTTTGATTGTTTAAAATCGGCATAAATTGACTAAACGATGTAAAAATATTGCAATTTAATGGTTAAACAATTACAATTTTATTGAAAGCAAATCGCAATTTAATTTCAATCTTTTCGTTGCACTGTGCTACTTGGGCTGTTTCGGTAAACCCTTCGCTTTAATTTTGCAATTAGCTCATTGGTTTGTCTTGACCTGTTGCAGGCGATCGTGTTGTGGGCAGGAGTGGCGTGGCGGGTGCAAGGGGCGCGGGGGTTGGAGTACGACGAGTATTCGGGGGCGCCGAAAGGGGCGCCGCAAAAAGTGCCGCTCATCCTCATGCACAAACAGGCGCTGAGCAACAACGGGGACTTCAACTTCGCCTTCGCCTCGGACAACGGGCTCAAACAGGGCGAGAAGATCCACCCGGACGGGAGCCGGACCGGCGCCTACTCCTACGTCGACCCCAACGGCAAAACCATCAGCGTCAAGTACTCGGCCGGCAAGGACGGCTTCCGGATATTGGAGGGCGATCATGTCCCCAAAGCCATTCAGGTACCTTTAGATAAGATAGCGTAGTTTTATATTGCTACTATAAATTATAACTACATAGTTTATCCGAGTGTAATCGAGTCTGGTGATTAGCAAATACTACTATATTTACTTTGATCTAAATTACGACGACACAGTTTGTCCGAGTGTAACTGAATCTGGTGATTAAGAAATACTACTATATTAACTTTGATCTAAATCATGACTACACACTTTCTCCGAGTGTAACCGAGTTTGGTGGTGAACGAATACTACTACTATATTTACTCTGAGGTAAATTATGACTTTACAGTTTCTTTTCACTCGGTTATGAAAAGTGTAAATTTGTCTCCGAGCGAAAGTTCGTCGGTCTAGGTTTTGATGATATTAGAAAACCTCGAGCTTAAGGTGAATCTACACCCAGTAGTTGGGAAATTTTCCGTCAAGAGATAGCGGCACAGTCGATTTTCAGGGGGGGACCGTTCTGATGAGGATATTTTTGAAAATATAGCGAATATCATAAAAAATCGACCGAATACGCGTAGATAATTTTTTTCTTGAATGGTTGACGTATAAATCATTGAAATCCGTGATGTTTGGCGAGCGAAATTATGCAGACCGTTTTCGGACACTTGCAAAACGGCAACGCTGCCGTCTTGGTGATATGTTTACCTAGGTTTTGATGATATTAGAAAACCTCGAGCTTAAGGTGAATCTACACCCAGTAGTTGGGAAATTTTCCGTCAAGAGATAGCGGCACAGTCGATTTTCAGGGGGGGACCGTTCTGATGAGGATATTTTTGAAAATATAGCGAATATCATAAAAAAATCGACCGAATACGCGTAGATAATTTTTTTTTCTTGAATGGTTGACGTATAAATCATTGAAATCCGTGATGTTTGGCGAGCGAAATTATGCAGACCGTTTTCGGACACTTGCAAAACGGCAACGCTGCCGTCTTGGTGATATGTTTACACTCCGGTTCTAACCTATAAACGAGTCTGGGGCGAACCTCTGTCGGAGGCGGTCGCTTCGCTGCAGGCTCATAGTGGTGGAGCCATTTTCGATAGGCCTAAATCCTTTACTTTTTCCTTTCACTCATTTCAGTTCTTCGTCTTCCTATTTTCGCAACCCTGCTTCCCTTCCCGACTTCTGCGCTCTTCATCCTTCCTTCAACCATCTTTTCCTCCTGGGCATATCTGCGGTCTCCACTAACCGTCAAATGATCTGGACAGTGATGGCAATGCTTAACCTCAAAGGGACGTGATCAATTATTTTTCGAAGATCATCCATCCCGGAACAAAATTTTAGTAGATTATTATCGAACCACCCATTGACCAAGACATTAAACTTTGTTTATTCTCTAGGGAAATGATCATTTAGTGTGTGATCCCGAACTTATGTAAGTGGCTGTTTATCTGCAAAGCGGAATTAGGCCAATCAACCTACAACAACAACAACAACAACAACAACAACTAACCTATAAAACAAACATGTATTTTTGATAGACCACAAAATTTTAACTTGATTAATTACAATTGTGTCGTGGAAGTAGTCTTTGATTGTTAAATTATCGAAAATAAGTTATTATGCTACAGTTCTTTTCCTGGTGGCTCAGTTCAGTCTGGTTCAGTCCACGTTTTGACCATTCCGTACCTCTATTGTCACCGTGCAACCTGTCCATCAATTGGCATAATGAAGAAAATATGTTTTGAGGTAAGTTGATATCTGGTTTTCCACCTAAAACTTGGCTCATGGTTACATAATTTCACATACTCTGCTAACATTTCAGTTAGAATCTCTAAGGGCGAACGAGTTATACCATTGACATTGCCCCTAAATCTGGAAGTCAAATTCCATCAATCGAAGCTGCTGTTTTGACCTGAACACACGTCTATTTTTGTTGCCATGTGTTTATGTCACTGTTTTTTTTACACAAGTTAGAATTCACACTTAACCCTGTACTAAAAAATACAGTGTAGGGTGAGTAACTCATGATCTTAATCCAAACAAGGAAATCATCCGTTGATGAGATGAACCCTTCTGGCAGTGCTTATCTCGAGAGTAAAGCATAACGCCTGAGGCGCAAAGGGCTTGAGGGTGTTGGACAGTAAGCCCCGTAGTATCCATGAAACTGCAATTTAATGGTTAAACTCCCAGAGTACATTTCTCTGTTTGCGATGTAGCAGACTTCCTGTAATACTTTATTTTTTAAATGGAAAACTATTCAGTGTCACTTCTTGAAAATTTCTGTGACTTTTCTCTTCTGCACAAAGAAAATTCTGTGAAAACCTCAAAGAATGACATTGATTTTTTCTCCTCAATAAAAATAAAGTGGGAGCAGAGATTTTTAAACACTGCAAACGAGATAGGTGCTTTGGGAGTTTCATCGTCGAAATGTTCCTATCCAGACTAGGACTGTCATTTGACAAAGCACTATCAGCATCTAGTACCTGCACCTTTCGTAATCTGTTTCTGTGCTACTAGGATTTGACCCATCATACTTTTCTCACAACTGAGGTTCTGCATGTACGAAAGAATTTCCAGTAAAGATTGAAGAGAAATTATGTGCCTGTGAGGCGTGCCTCTGGCTCTTGGTTCCTTCATTATTTATTCGTACCTAGGCATTGTTGATTGCCGCATAACCTAAGCATGACCAATTATCACCTTGGAAGAGCATTTCATCAAATTGAGCGTAGGGACCAAGATATGAAAATAAGAGCACCAAGGGCTCAGGCAAGCCAGTTTAGTTTCTCAGATTTCGTTCTTACTTGTTGTGCTGGGTCATTATCGCTCAAACAAACTGGAGCGTATTAAAACAGTATGTTTGTTTTTTCCAAGGGCACAATTATTGAGAAAATAATCATGTAACATTGCAAGAACCTACATTTTGGGAGCTTGTAAGGTCCAATCTCAAAAAAATATGTGTTAATAAATTAAAGATTTCAATTGTTGTGTTCGATCAGAGCAGGAAAACAAAGAAGAT